CTTCTGGCTAATTATCGCTACATGCATAGAGTTCACATTTCCAGCTTTTGTTGTTAGAATAACTGAAAATGAATTATCTTGCCACTATGGAAGAAAGGAAAAATCGGCAATGAGATGTTGAGGAAAAAGAAAGAAAGAAATTAGGTTTTATATTTGTGGTGTAACAATAATTTATTTAATTAAAAAGTATATTAAAATAATTATTTAATTTTACTTAAGGATATTAAAGTAAATAAGAAAATTGTGGTGTACTTGATAAAATTTGTAGTGGTAATATAATTACCGTATATTACATTTGACATCGTAAGATGGTTGTGTTGTTACACTCGGTGTTCTTGCACAATGGAAGAATGATAATTGAAGGTCGTATGGTGAAATATTTCCTCCTAAATCTAAGAGGCATCCAGGCAATCCTAAGAAGATGAGGAGACGGACTAGGATGTAGTACTTGAAAGCAACAATATGTGGATGGGGTGGTGGTAAGTAGCACAAGAGGAGAACGTGTAAGCACCCACTCTCACTCCCACTTTGTCGACCCGGCAAATGTAAACGAGGTTCGACGATGTGATTTAAAGAGACGATAAATTGCAATTCAATTCATCTAACATATAATGACGTAGTAAGATTGATTAAAATCCAACCGTGTTGTCTGGACAATGATAGGATTTGTAAATTTTAAATAATGGTTACTTTTGTGTTTAATTTTTATGTCGCTATTGTGTTTGATAAAAACATTTCATTGCGGAAATATTTCTCCATGATTGCAATTGTGTTAAACTAATTTTTTAATCCATAAAATTCAATATGAATGTGTTGTCATATAGCAGCATTTCACTCTTGATTCCTTCGGATATATGGTATTGACGAATGGATATAGAAGTGGGAGTACAAACAAATGGATGTATTGTCGATTTTATATCCTGCAAGTCTACGAATCGTAACAAGTAATAAATTAGACCTAAAAGTCCAGATATCGTTCCCACGATGACTACTGCCAATTGGTTCAATTAGTTCTAACTTTAATTTGATCGAAAACAAATAAAGAATTAGATGATGTGATTTTTAATATAACTCTTTGAAAATACGTGAATGCACACAAAGATTGATTTAGAATTTAAATAATGTACAGATATTAGAGCAAAATAATTTCACATATTGATCACCTTTAACTTTTAATTCAATATTCAAAAGTATAATCTAGTGGTCGGTCGAATTCTTTTATTGCATTCAATTTACCCCTCTCAAATTCTCATTGAGCATATTTAATTAATTTAATCTCATATTTCTATACAAATCAATTTTAGTTAAACGAAAAATTAGTCCTAAGAATTTATACAACGATCGCAATAATCAATATAAGTATCCTACACGTTATACTAATTCACCGAATTTTAATATGTGATCTAAGTCTAAAACTCACCTTCCGAGTCGTAATAAATTCACGAAGTCATTGAATAATTGGTCAAAGAATTCAAAGCATTAAGTACGTAATTAAAATTAACACATATGCATTTAAAGAATTTGAATCTTGAATAAAAAAAATAAAAGATCTTAAAAGATTAAATTATTTGCCCTAATATGAATTTAACTACTCATGATAATGGAAGAAAAACTAAAAAATTGCATTGAGTACATCACCGGATTTTGAATTGAGATGTAGAAAAGATGGTGAATATTGCACCAAGTTCCTCTTTTCGTTCCAAATTTTGATTTCAAACCCTTGATTGTTGTTTTTCTCCTCTCCTCTTGAATTTGCTTTCTAATTCTCAAGTCGTTTTTTTCATCTCTCAATGTGTGGAATTCCCTACAAAAGTATCAAAAACTTGTATTTATGATTGCCCCCTACGTTTTTTGATTGTTGTAGGGTTTTTATGGGCTTTACAATGATAAAAAATGCACCCTAGATATATCCAGGTGGCGTCTCAACACCATGTAGCGGTGCAACTAGGACAGAATGGTAGCACCTTGGTGCCATGACACGACGCCACCTTTCGGGGAAAATTTGCATTGGGCTTCCTTTAGTATTTTTATCATAACTTTCTCTCCAGATATTCGATTGAAACAATTTAGATTGAGTTATGAAAATAACGTAAAGGGATACAACTTTACTTGAAATAACCATTTTCCAATTTGAATGTTTACTAGGTAAAAAATGGGTTCAATATTGAGCTGAAAAATTGGAACATGTGCAGTTGAAAATCAACACCATGTCCATATTTTGTTCATATTTTACTCATTTTGACTTCTAATTGCATCCAATTGACGCCGAGCATTCTCGAATTTTCATCGTGAGATTCGATACAACTTCTGAATATTAACACTTTAGTCTCCAAACTCTAGATCTTGCCATTTTTTGTAAATTTTTGTTTGTTTATTTCAATTTTACTTCCATTCATCGAGTTTCATCTAATAAATATAATATACAATAAACGAGGCTATAATTATTCAAAAGAATATTAAATGTCTATATTTTTAGATCCAAATGAGCATATAAAATACATTTATCAATGTCACTGCACAAATTTCGAGATGGGAATTGAGATGATCGTGCAGAAGGTATATGTTTTATGTATGACAGCCATCTACATTTTGATCACAACCAAATTGGAATAAGACCTTCCAAGTAGATTCTTGAGAAAGTTCGTCACATACCCAAGAACTTTAGTTTCTAGAACCTTAGTTGCCTGCCATCATAAACTTCGCTCTACAAATTATACCTAAAAACTTAAAAGAACCAACTTCCTTCAAAACCAGAAACTGATGGGAAAACATATAATTCTCAATATTTAAATACTACACCATGACGTATACAATGCTATTGCTAAATTGCATCGAATTTATATCCAAGACGAAACACGATGTAATAATCATATACTTGATATAAATCAGTAAACAAAATCAAATTTACGTTGCCAAAATACATTGCCATGTGTCTGGTGCGTTTCATTTATTCAATCCCTACCAACACAATGAAGATAGTCAAAAGGGAATCAACCATAACTTGCACAAATAAAAAAGGGATCCCTGCCCCCCTCGGACATAATCCAGTAGTGTAAAGGACAGGAGTGAGGTAGTCTCAACTTTACTGACAGCCGCAGTGTGAGGGTTCGATTCTTGAGATATGAAATTGGACTCTTTGTGAGTATTAGTGTATATGCAAGTTCTTGTTCCCTGACCTATTGGGGTACATTCCGTGATTTACTTCCTTCACAATACTCCAGGGATGGGAAGGTGGATGCCCTCAAAGTTGGGGTTCAACATTTTCTTTTGAAAAAGGGATTCCGACAATTTCTACTTGGTCACTAGTTATACTACTTTGGCTGAATTAAAGAATGCTATGCAATAAAACATATGAGGAATATTGCTACTTCAAACGTTCTTAGAAGCCCTCAACTTCCTCTCTCTTCGCAATCTATGTGGGATGTTACTGAAATTTGTTTCGTAACCTTCAATAATCTTCTCGTATGGATAATCGTAGAGTTGCACCACCAATTGTGAACATGAACTTTTGGGTCAAAATTTTCCACCATCACATTTATCGTCTGATGTATAAGGAATTCTACATACTTGATCACATACACCCCATTATGAACAATAGAGTATTTACAAATTTGTCCATTTGTAAGTACTTATTACCCTAAATATATCAAAATTTCTCTTTTTAATTACTTGTTCCCAACTTTTTAATTAATGTTTGTCACACATCGCTCTACCAATATACGATCAATATATAATGATTGTGACTCGTGAACAAACCTATCCATTTTAATTATGTATTGCTCTAAATATTCCAAATTTGTTCTTTATATTCACAACATTTTAATCAATGGCTAGTGCACACCACTGCACCACCACACGTCCTTCTCCCGACACATGATCATGTATAATGGGGTTGTGACTTGTGAACAAAACTATCCATTTTAAAATACTTATTACCCTAGATGGAAATGAAAAAATATTTAAAAATATTATAAATATTATAATTTTTTCTCTTTATAATCATTTCCTATCCAACATTTTAACCAACGTGTTTGTCACGCACCATCACCCACTCTTCACCCACCACATGATGCCATGATCCATATATAATGGGGTTGTGACTTGTCAACAAAACTATCCATTTTTAAATACCTAGATGGAAATTAGAAATTGAGATGCATTAAAAATATTTTAATTTTTCTTTTTATGTTTTTCGCACACCAATCATCAATTCATCTCTCAACACATGATCCATATATACCCCTGTTTGAGCCTCATTTTTTCAAGAATGCATTTTTTAAATCTCATTTTCAATCACATATTTTCTTATAAAATAATTATATACGTATTTCAAAAAAAATTTCTCATATTTTAACCACACATTCTCTAAAAATTCACTATTTCATAATACATTTTACTCCAAACATGGGAATGAAATGGGGGATAATATCCGTTTTCAAATACTTATTACGATAGGTGGAAATTAGAAAATATGTTTAAACACCTTAAATGTATTAAAAATATTACAAATCTTCTCTTTATTATTACTTTCTTGCCACCTTTTTAACCTACGTTTGTCGCACTTCATGCCCTACTCTCAACACACAATCCCTAGCAAGGCGTGGATAATAAATATCAAATTTTTAGTTTGCGCAAGTGAAGAAATTATTTGCACTATCGCCACTTCATCTAATCTCATTCATCGTTATGTGATTGTACTACTATTATTGAGACATGAAAGTGAAGATAGAATATAAAACAATAATGATGGTGACAATAATGATTGAATAGTTGTGAAAGAGGTTGATGAAGAAACTCGATAGAGGTAAGTTTGTATTCAGTTGGGCGATCATCGAACACAACCAATTACTTTTAAACATTCATGGAAAATTAGGACCTAGAAGTACTTAACGCTACTTTTCCAAATATTTGTGCTAATTTGTTATTTTTCTATAGTTTGAAGGGTCTGAGTGAAAATAACTCCTCCACGGTATACAGTACTATACCCCTATATATCGCAGCCACTGTTCCAAAAAAAATGGTTTATTTAGGGTTTAAGCAAAGCTCACTGCAAATAACGGAACCACAAATATCTCTCTGCCTCTGAATTTCTAGGGTTTGAAAGAAAAATGGGAGCGGACAAAGGGAAGAAGCAGAAAGTTGGAGAATTGGAGGAAGAAAACAACGTGGCAGAGAAAATTGATGGAGAGCTCGTTCTTTCAATTGAAAAGCTCCAGGAAATTCAAGATGAGCTTGAAAAAGTAATTTTGTTCTTTTCTTTTCTTAATCTTAATTTCGGATTTTTATTTTCTTTTCACTTTACCTCTGTTAAAAAAATTGAGGATCTTTCAGGAAAATTGCTGTTTTCTAATATTGAAAGAATTTTTAAGGAACAAAAATTGGTTCTTTTTGTTTTCTCACATATTTGGTTGGGTCATATCCTAATTTTTGTTTGGTTGTTATAGTAAAATCTAGGATTCTGAATTTAGGGATTAGAAAGTTCTGATTGGTTTCTGATTATTAACCTCCAATGTGTTCGCATCCTGAGAATTTTGGACCAGTTGTTATGTCTTTTTCATTCCGTCTGGCCGTCGAAAATCGAGAAAAAAAAAAAAAAACACCCCCCCCCCCCCCCCCCCCCCCGGGTCATCATTGTTTGAGTTATAGGGAAATGATATTTAAATATTTCATCTAGATGCTATCATGTTATATGATATTGGTGTTTGAGACGGGAGAGGAATCTGGCCGTTACTAATAGACATTAATTTGAAATTGGTCTTTACTTATTTGGGACATCTATGATGTCTCAGATTCTGTGAACATTCAATCAGAACGGTAGATAATTGCAGCAAGCTGTTTTTTAGTTTACAAATTAGAGTTACACGCAGACTTGTTGAAGCCAAATTCAACCCGATTAAGTACGATAGTTCATTTTGTTAACTTTTAAGGCATTAATTAATTTATGGCTAAAACAGCAATTCCTTTAATTTAGACATAATCCATTCGTTGTAATGAAATTACATATTTGCACTTCAATTGAAGTAATAGTAACACGCTGTGTCTGTACTCTTTATGGTTGCAGATCAATGAAGAAGCAAGTGAAAAAGTCTTGGAAGTGGAACAAAAATACAATGAGATACGGAAGCCTGTATATGACAAACGGAATGACATCATAAAGTCCATTCCTGACTTCTGGCTGACTGCAGTTAGTGATCTGGCACAACTAGTGCTTTGATAAAATACTGAAAAGTCCTTTTGTTCAATATCTCTCTTTTGTACCTTTCTGATTGACATAATACCTTCTTTCCTGCAGTTTTTAAGTCATCCTGCCCTTAGTGAACTTTTTACTGATGAAGACCAAAAGGTTTAATCTTCATCCTTTCACTCTCTCCAAGGTTAAAATGTAATTATGGCTTTAATGTGATTCTTCATTTGTGGTATTAATTTTCCATTTTCCCAAGTCAATAATCAACAGTTACTCCATTGGTAAAAGCTTTTCTAAATGTCAGTTTTTAATTTCTGATCTTTTATCAGTTAACTGATTTGAGGCAGCGTTTTCTGGTTAGATTTTCAAGTATTTAAGTTCCCTAGAAGTGGAAGATTTCAAGGATATGAAATCGGGTTACTCTATCACATTTGTGAGTCTTCATCTTTTCCCCTTTCCTGTTTTTGGATCTAGAAATTCTAATAATAATTTTAGTTTATGTAATTTGCTTGAAAGTTGTTCATAACACATGTTATTTGTCCCTTCAGCACTTCAGTCCCAATCCGTATTTTGAAGATACAAAACTTACGAAGACTTTTACCTTCCTTGATGAGGGAACAAAAATCACTGCAACTGCAATAAAGTGGAAAGAAGGCATGGTAAGCTTTCATGTGTTTTCACCTTTTGCAGTGTTGCCTCTGTTTCTGTGTTTTGATATGCATGTCTGACACCTGAAGGGCATTCCAAATGGTGTTGCTGAACAGAAGAATGGGAACAAGCGGCCTCATGCAGAAGAAAGGTAGTTATTTTCACACATTTGGTTTTTCAACGAAGTATTATAGAGCTGGTTGTAGTCAATTGTCCTGTCATGTCCATGTGTAGATTTGTGTTGACAAGCTTGGTGAAATGGCATTGATCTGATTAGTTTACACAAACTAGTTTATGTAAATCTACTAGCAGCAACAGGGGTCATTTTAGGGCATTTTGTAGATCACCAACTAAGGTTTAGGACATTAGTGCACAATTATCAATCTATGCTGCTTAGACATGTGTGGGTGTGGGTCTTCTCGACAGATGTGAATTGTCAATTTACAACCCCCGCAGATCTGGTCATAAAGGGATCAATAATTGAAGTAACAAATTAGAAAATTAATACTTCAATACTCTGAAGAGTGAAGATGACAGAACAAAAAATCAACAAGAAGGGAGTTAGAGCAGTTCATTTTGAAGAATGAATTTTATGTTATATCTGAAAAATGACACAATAGGAGACACAATTGAATAAGTGGGAATTTTGACTTAGTTATTCGGGCTTATTTCATATGTTCGAGAGCAGTGTAGAGTTCCGAAGGATTGGATGCAGGTCAATTTTGTATTGACCATGTGATGATGTGCAAGTATGGTAACAATTGACAGAGTTATGTAGGTGGCGATTAACTTTGATTTGATGGTTAAGTTCTAATACTTAAATCATTGGTAATTTGTCCTAATCTGCAATCATGATGTTGAAATTTGTTGGATCATCGTGATGGCAGTTGCATTCACACTTGAGGTTGAAAATCTACATTTGTGAAACATGTGTCCAGTGCATAAATGCAGCAGTATGTAAGCCTAATTATGTGCCTAAATTATATAGCTTCTGATTTTTGTTTTTATTTTTTTATTTTTTTGCTGAAAATTTTCCACTAAAGCTGCTTGATATGTGCTTCAAGTAGGTTTTTGTTTCATTTACTTTTTTTTGTCGAAGGCACTCATGTACTTTGCTTTTCGCCGTGTTCCTCTTCAAGGTGCTCTTTGTTAACTAGTGACTACCACATGCATCTCTGCTTGCTGTTTCTGAATGTTGAAAATTATTGCTTCCATGATTGTTAAAAGTGGACCTATATGTGTTCAACTGCAAAGAACAATGAGATATGCCTCGGCACTTTTTAAGTGTTTGAAGCACAGAGCTTCATTAAAGAGCAAGATGCAAGAAAGTGTGACCAATTAAACTTTAAGCTTTCTGTGTCTTTCCTCCTGACTACTAGTCCATTTTTAGATTTTTTATGTGGGTTGGTATTTTGGTTGATGTAATTTGATAGTTGATCTAGTCCATTTTTAGATTTTTATGTGGTATGATGTAATTTGATAGTTGATGAAATTGGTATAAAATCTTAACCTGAAGTTACTTTAATACTGTTTTTGTTCAAGTATTTTATGTGTCCTTTTCCTCCTGACTCCTAGTCCTTTTCCTCCCGTGCTGTTTTCTTTCTTTTTCCCTTCTAAAATTACTGCAATTGTCAACTTTGTCAAATACATTTGGAATTATTTCTTTTAGCTTATAAAGAGCTCCGGTCTCGCTTTGCACATGGCCATAGAGTCGTGGTGTGGATCCACTTTCCACATATAATCTTCATGAAATATATCTAAATCATGGCATGCTGTCATTGACTTGATATCATCTCTAAGGTGCTAATGCTACCTTTTGTTGTCTTATTGTTTGTGTTATTGCAATCATGTATGCTTTTAAGTGGTCTTTGCGTAAGAACTTTTAAATAAAATTGATAACTGTTAAGTGTTTGTTTATTTACTCGTTGTAATTCTGATTACTTACACTGTGAATGCAGCTTCTTTACCTGGTTTAGTGAGACTGAGAGTAAAGGTGATATCGATGAGATTCACGATGAGGTAAATTCTGCTCTATGAAATTTAATGAATGTCCTAGATATTAAGTTTTGTGTCAATTACAAAAGGAACAAAAAAATGGGAATGCACTGATGTGAGCTGTGAACCTATTTCTCAATTCTCACTCTGTACATCCAATTGATTTGGCAACATTTTCTGTAGCACAAACGACAAAGTCAAACATGTCCAACCTTTTAACTAATATATTATTCAAATTTTTTTAGTGATTTATTAGAACTCAAGTACTAGTATTTATTATGTAGTTTGATATTCTTTAAAATCTCAAATGTCATAATATAGAATTCACCAATGAATGTCAATTCAATTGCTCAAAGCAGGATGTTGCAACATTTATGGGACATCCGTACCATTTGTTTGGATGTATTTTAATCATTATAATTATCTGCAGGTTGCTGAAATCATCAAGGATGATTTGTGGCCAAATCCTCTTACTTACTTTAACAATGTAAGATTCTTTCAATGCCCAACTTATTAGTTATATTGTGCATGTATGTAAACGGAAGCTCTTTTTGAGCTGAAATTTTGTGAATATGAAGTGCTTATTATGGGATCTTTTATTCCTTTTACTGCAGGAGGCTGATGAAGAAGATTTTGACGTGGATGATGATGAGGTAAGTGCAGAGCATTACTTCTGTACTCTCACTTTTACAGTTGTACACGACAGTGCTTGCAAGTGTGCTGATTGCTTTCATTTTTCCATCATTTCTTGTTAATTTTTGGAGGCCTTGAATTTCTAGAAACCATAAATTGTTACAGCAAATATGCCGGTTCCCCCCCTTTTTTTCCCTGTTGACCTCTGATGAGTTGTGTTGCCTGTCAAGATTTTACTTAATGATCTCCGGCTTATAATTTATAAAACAGAAAATTACAACATTTTTTTGAAATAACCTCTCCATTAATGGTGAGCCCGATGCTATTTTTTTTAATAAATATTAAAATAATGATATGGTCCGTAATGGCTGGGATAGGACTTGCGCAACCATGCCAAGAAGCTAAGGGCCAAGGCTTTTGAAAAATTAAAATCTGCTTTTGAACCGTTTGGATAATTTCTGGATTTTAGGAAGCCCTGCCTAATTGGGCCTTAAATCTTTTGGCTTGCCGGGCTAATAAATAAAGGGTCTGTTCAGGCCTCTACAGTGCTACTGAATGTCTAACCCAAATACCTGCTCATCCGAGAACCACATTAAGAGTGATAACATATCCCACATACAGATAATTTATTTATACGAAGAAAATGAAGAATAGGCTTCATTTTCTGTTCTTTTACTATAAGGGGTGCTTTATTTATTTTGTTTTGAATATCTGTAAACACTTGAGCTCGAAAACTTACTGGAATGATTGCTCAGGGAGCTATCTATGTTGTGAGAAGCTGCTAAAAAATAGTGGGATTTTATTCGACATATACATATATATATATTCTAGTTGCATGTGTTTGTTTTTTAATAAGCTTTGTTAAGTTTAACAAGAACAAACCGTATTCTCTGTTTTATTCAAACTTTGAATAGTTTCTCATCTAAAGGTAGAGTAATTTAGTTCTATTTTTCACATTTTATTTTCAATGTCTTTCGGCACCTATCTTAATTCAAGTTTCTGCAGGATAAGGCGAGTGATGGCTCAGAAGACGATGAGGATGAAGACGAGGACGAGGACGAGGATGAGGATGGTGATGAGTGAGGCTAATGAACTTTTCCCTGACCTTTGGTATCATGCTGTTACTGCTTGTTAATAGTGTCTAGAAAGTTCCAGAAAGAGTAACGGATCATGATAACTGACTTATTTTTGTGGTTTTTGGACAGACATTTTGCCTTTCATAGGCAAATGTTCGTTTTTCTTTTCGTTATCATAGTATTGTTGGCTTTGCTAAATTTATTCTATAGAAAGCTGGGGCTGGGAGGGTACAGTTGCTGTTGCCTCTTATTAGCCAGCTGATAAGAGCTGAAGTTTGAGTAAAAATATCCCATTTGACACTGAACTTTTAATGTATTCGAGTTTTCACTGTACTTTTCAAAATATATGCTATCTATCGCTCTTTTAATTGCCGTTGAAAAGGTTAACGGATTTGTAAGCCGTGGCAGATGTTGAGATTCACGAGCCACCTGCTATTCACGACCGGTCCCACAAGCCACTGTCAACAACAACCCTACATCTTATTTCAGTACGACACATTAGATTTTTTGAATTCTTTACATGGCAAAATCGCATTTGCTTCTTTCGCCTTTTGAGAATTTGGGTCTTTACATGATAATCAGTAATTTGATGCTCAATAGCATTTAACTTTGAGTTGAATTGGAGATAAATGTTGGTTAAACAATTTTACTTTCTAGTTTTGAGCAATGTGAGGGACTGAAAGTCGTGTTTTGCCCTGCAATCTACCTGAACTCTGTACACACTTCAGGCCATGTTTGGTACATAGAATTATACCGTATAAGGAACTTAGTATAAAATTATAAGAGATTTTTTAAATGGATTATATTATGGTGGATTAAGGTGGATAGTATTATTTAACATTTCATTTTGCACTGTCAACTGAATAACATAATATGAAGGTTGGAGGCGTGTTTAATTCGAATAAGAATAGTAAATTACATTATTTTAAATAAAAAATCAAAGGGTAGTACTACTACCTACCTTAATTTCCTCTACTGGGTATCATCTATTATTATTTTGTATTAAGTTTTTTATAAGATATAATCTAATGTGTTTAGTACTTAGGTAATATTTGGTATGTAGCACAGGAATTGCCTATAGAATGAATATAAATTTACTTTATATTTTTCTTCTTTAAGGCCCGTTTGATAGGATTATTGAAAAGTTAAACGATACTTCTTCTGATACTAAGAAATCACTTTCGATGTGTGTGAACAATTTTCTTGCCCAAGTGACATTCTTAAGAAGCAAGGGAGTTCTTCTGTAAGAAATAGACGCAGAGGTCTTACCAATAGGCCAAATCATGTTCAGTCTTTTCTATATCTATAAATTCTCTCTTCACTTTCTTTATTTTAACATTTTACTTGTGCAAAATTACACCATAAAAGCCTCATGTTCAATATGCTTTATTTGATTATTGATACAAAAAAAGGATAAATGCATAGCAAAATTACTTACAAGCTCGACGAGTATTACTTAACATCTTAAATATGTGTTGCCAAGATAGTACTCGAAGAGTTGAACTATATCACTAAGATGGGTGAACTTATGGAGAGCTCTCGATTTTCACCCAAAAAATAATAAAAAAAATACAACGATGATAGAAGTTCGAATATTCTGGCGGCTAGGCGCTACTTCCCGGCACGGCAACAAAATGAGAACATTGGATTACCTCAACATACAGATGGGAATTATATCACTTTTATTTTTCAAGATGAAGGACCAATTATGCATACATTAACAAGTTAGTCCTCACTTTTAAAAGAAGTAAGGTGCTCCTATTAACATGGGAACTGGAATTGGAACAAAAGGTATGATCCACGCATATCGATATGTCTACTCCATTAAAAAAGTTCGTACTCACAAAATGAGTCCCCACTGACACAAAACGTCCAAGCTTACATAAAATTAACACACGGTTCTCGTGAAGACATGCTTTTCTTCAAATTTCTGGGCATTGGACAAAATTCTAGCTCCAACAAATAGACACATGATAATTAAAGATGGTTTTCGTGATGGAGAATAGATTTTAAAACTATAATAAAACGTTGAGGACTAACTAGCTCCATTTCGAAGGTTGGATGAAGGCATGCTTGCTGGTGGAGAGATAGTTATGGAGACCACTGGTGCAATTTTTGGCAGAAAAATGTGCTAGTTCTATTTTTCATATTTAGCTTATAGATTCGAGTTCCGATATTGGTTAAGGCGTTGCAATTTTTTACTCGTCGGACTAACATGATTTAAGTTTTATAATTTCAAGATTTATTTGGTGTATTTTGATTCTCTTTTAAGCTGTTGATGCATTCATTTTATGCCGAAATAATCTATTAATTATCTTCTTATTCTGCATGGTAAGAAGCCGTCAAATCGAATTCTTCTCTTTCTGGAATAAACGAGTTATACGAACAGATGGCTTCGGAAAGACAAAAGCAGACAATTATCAACCGCGCCTGCTCATCGCTAGATCTTATGAGTTGAGCCTAGGGACAGCAATTTAGCTTGCCGGAAAAAGTCCAAGTCGGCACAGCTCAAGGCTCAAAAGAACTGAGCCCCAGTTTGGATGGACGGGCCGAGCCTGAGCTGGCCCACGAGCCATTAAAAAAAAATGGAACTTCGATGCAGCAAAATGCTGCCTGCCTGCCTTAAAAGGCAGCACAGGATTTTAAGGCAGGATTGTGCTGCCTTTTAAGGCAGTCGTTGGACTGTCAGCTTAAATAAAAAGAGCAAAGAAAAAGGCGAGCCTGCCTGGCTCGGCTCGGAAAGGCCCGAGCAAAAGCTTGGGTCGAGCCTAATTTTTTTGGTCGAGCACAAGCTCGGCTCGGGCTTGGAAAAAAGTTCGCACATTTTACTCGAGTCGAGCCCGAGCCTCGAGTTTCGACTCGCGAGTGGCCTGTTGACATCCCTAGTTGAGCCATGGTACTTACTAATACATTTTTCGCGATGGCTGAGGAGAAGCTGAAGTGTAGACCTAAACCAGATGCGCTAACACTGGTTGGTTATGTGAAGCATTGGCGAAATCTGTAGACCAAAATGAGTATTTGATGATGGAGTCGAGTAGACTGCACAATATACAAACTTTTAGCTTTATTTTTCCATCTTAATGCTATTCAGTAGTGTCTAATCCAACGTACCAAACATAACATATGTCATTTAGGGGTCAAGCTGAATCAAGGGATCAAGCTAAATCTGGGTGTAGTATGAATGACTAGACCATGTTAGGTCTTGGGACGGAAGCGTTTGCAAAATTCTTGACATAAGAATTATATAGTTGGAAAGAATGATATTGGAACAATCTTATCTTATATATATTATATAATAATTGATTATTATTAAAAAGTGTGCAATGCCCTATATTTGTAGGCAATATTATTCTCTACTTCTACTAATAATACTAGGAAACTAAAATAAGGAAACTAAGCTCCCGTTTGGCCCCCATTCTTTCCAATTTTTGATGGTTGGAATAATATTTTTTTGAAAAATGTATGGTTGAAAAAGAATGAAAAGTTATCGATTTGTATGTAATATTATTTTACAGAAGATTGTATAGTTGAAAATAAGAGAGAAAAAGAATGAGAAAGAGAATGCGGGTTAAACAAGGGCTTTTGATTGTTACTTATCATAGTCAACCGTCATTTTTGATCTCTTTACTCACAGGTGAGACTCACATTTCAAGATAACAGTCAAAAAATCAATTCTCATAATCAACACCAAACAAACTCTAATAAAATTCTAATATAAAAGAAATTAAAAATCCTATTCTAATCGATAAATAAACTAGAAATCCTATTCTCAATTAAAAATAAGAATAAAAAGATAAAACATATCACAACTAGATATTTTATTATAAAACCCGATTTTTATCATATTTACAATAGGATTATCCTACGTCATGTCTTTTCTATATCTCCATTCTTTCTTCACTTCCTATAATGTTAATTTTACTTATAGGCAAAAT